GGTGTAGTTTAGTTTTAACACATTTTTGGCATGTGTATATAACACACAAGAAGTATACTAATTTTAATATCTGACAAAAAGCATGTATCAACAGCATCTCCTTCCCTTGGATGAAATTTTAAAGCATACACAGATATACTGTGGTTCTTAAAAACATTAACAAATTTTAGTACTTTTAAATGATGAAAACATTTTTCAAAGGTTTTGGATCCCGAGTTAATTTTATGGAGTTACTTAAACCATTTAAGTTGAATTTTACAAAAAACAAACTCTATAAAGCACTGGCAGTAATTGAGATAAGTGAAATTGTGCTTTAAAGGAAGCATTAAAGCTTTTGAAGTAGCACTTAACAAAAACAAAAATAAATTTTTATACAGAAGAAACATATACAATAACTATATATATCTAGTTGAGTCATTGTGACAACTTTTTCTGACATAATTAATCAGTGTTATGAATGATCAAATGCAAGTGATAATTATGGAAAACTGTTTTTATGTTACTGCCCCTCAACTGTTGTGATAAATTACCACAGATTTTTTTAAAGGCATAATGAAAGAACACAGTTGCCTAAAACTGCCAGAGATTATCCAATGTGCAATATAGCACCATAATGATAACACAGGGTCAAATGGAATGTGTAACATTACAATATAACTCCTACTGTTTCTTCAAAATAACTGTTGTGCTAAACCAGAAATACTTGAACACTTGAACCATAAATAAAGTATACACTTGAGAGATTTTTTATGGAGTTTCTCAAAACTCTACATTCAATTTTGAACACATTGGTTCTTAGTGCAAACTTCGAAAACAACATCCCTTTAATGACAAAGCCCATCTATAAAATTCAGTTAAACAGTCTACAATGAAATAAAAGAATGAAGCACCAACCCAAAAATATAAACTAAGAACCAAACTCGTATAATCAAAGTCATATAATAATAACAATAAACTTATAAGAATGAAATAACACTATCCTGTGACTTTTGTCTTCAGTTTTATGTTTTTCTGCTGGTGTGTTGATAAAAGTTTGTACACTTCATAATAACAAAATTCTAAAATTTTCAAAGGTTCTATATTCCAGATTTATAGATCCTATAACATTCACTTTGTATAAAGGCATACGACACAGAACTTTAGCTGAATTTAAAGTTTTCCATAAGTTTGCAAAGACATTTAAAAATTTGAGTCTCAGTATTTTAACTTTTAGTAAATGCACAACAATAAACATTTATAATCTCACAACATGATTGACGATGGATGAGAAACTTTATCAACCAAATTATATTAGAATAACATCTCTTGACAAATGTTTAAAACACAATACACCAAGATAGATGATAGATATTAAGTTACTTAAAATGTTAAACTCCTAGTGTTCATATTCTCCTTGTAAAATAATGCAACTTATATTTTGTTGCATCTAATTAGACTAATATCACCTTACTCAAGAATAATTCACCTAAGATATGGTTATCATGACAAACTGAAAACAAGAACTACCCAGTTGCCCTCTGGAATAGAGAAAAATATTTTCTAAGAAGTCTCAAAATAAAAACACTGAATATATTTGGGCTATTAAGAAAACATGGGCAAGCAGTAGCATGACATCACTCAATAACTGTTCCATCTTTCAATGAGTTATAAAACTGCTTAAATTGAAGAGTAAGATAAATAACTATATATATTGCATGAGCTGTAAAAAGCAAAAAAATCCTTTTCAGTAAGTTGTACATACATTAGTAGTGTTTTGCTAGTTATAAAACAGTAGTAACTATATACTAATAAAAACTTATAGCAGTTATAATGTTATCCTTTAATAAAATAAACAATGTGAATTTTTTATGTTTTTATCAATTTAAATATCACAGGAGCTGTATGTCTTTAGTGCTAACTTGTATTCTGATACTTAACAGTTTGAAGCCCCACAAACAATTTATCTGCAAACTGACTACACAAGTTCATCTGACAATTTCGAAAAAAGTATTAATATAATGTTTGTAAACAGTAGCTATGTCATAACCTTTTGATAACATTAGCAATAAGATATAATTAGAAAAATATGATCTATAAAAGATTAAGTCCATAGAAAATATTAATTTTAATTACAAATAACTTCTTCAGTAATTTTTGAAAACATTTTGGGAGGTCAATATTTTCTAGTTGTAGTAGGTGATTTCAAAAGCCTTATAAACCTGAAAAACAATGGAATAATTTATAAGTCTTTACAATATTTTTAAAAGTATTGTCTCTGTCTCTCACTTTAAGCTTTTGAGCTTATAGTATTTTACAATGAATAAAATTATCATAGGTACCAAGTGATATAACTTTCTGTAATATAAAGATTATAAGAATGATATTGTTTGGTGGTTCCAAATGTTGCACACACTAATTATGTTGTAATAACCCTTTCCAGACTGAGAGGATTTTACTGATATCCCTTGATTTTTTTCCTTCTCATAGTTGAAATACTTAACCGCATTGCATGAAAACTTGCAAACACTTACTAAATTGTATTTAGTTTTTGCTTTAAAAAATTGATAGAATTTTAGCAATCGATGTGTTCGA